CATGGCCTCTGCCCCACACGCACCCCTGCGGCGGCCCGGCCTCTCCCCAGAACCCCCCTGCCCGGGCTCCCGGCCTTGAAGTGCTGAAGCAGCCTTAATCTTTTATGCATAAACTTTCCTTACAACTTTAGGGACTTTCTTGACGTTCAAATCATAGTGAAACCTGTAACCTAAAGCCTGCCCCCGCGGTGGACCTGTCAGTACAGAGCGCTGTGAGGGCTCAGGGGTCTGCTCGACTGATTGCACAATTGAAACATTATGAAAATGTTTCAGTAGTCAGCTGAAGAGTTGCCTCAGAATCTGCATGGCAAGATACCTGTCACAGTTGGTATTCAGGGGATTTTATTCTGAACTACTGTGTTTCTTTTCTCTTGCGGTAGATGAAAACGAAGCAGAGAGACCAGAGGAAGAAAAAGCTAGGTGAGTATCTTGACAGCTGGAGGCCCTGTAGCGTGGCTGCACAAAAACTGTAGTCATTACATTCTTCCCAGCTGCTTAAGAGTCCGTAGCACCTGAACACGCTCTGGTGGATTTGAAAACCCCCTTAAGACAGTACGTTTGGTCTGCTAGAATGACTTGGCTTTTCTGTGAAATGGTTTTGCCTGTGAAACTGGGACACTTGAGTATGAAAGTTATTCTAACTGTATGGACAGCAATAGCCCCTCACAAAATGCCAATAGGTCTTTTATTTCTGTAATCATTGTGCTTTGCAGTCTTAGTAATGGATCAGGACTTTATTTGTTCTAGATAATTTAGAAATTAAAGGACCGTCTGTCTCCCAAAGGATTTACAATGTAGTTACAAAAAGAGGAATACAAGGAAGCAGTGGAAGATTACTAGGTAGTTTGATGTGCAGGTCACATAACACATCTGCGTAGGGTTTTGGGGTTGGCTTTTTTATTAGACAGTATTTGAAAGAAATTTAGAAAAAGCTTTGGAGGTATTTGGGGGAGCCTGCTTGAGTTGTAAGGAGCTGTGAGTGAAATCACAAAGATGCTCGTTTGAAAGTCTAGCTAGGTTGATGGAGGTTGGTAGCAAGGGCTGACTGGAAACGGGAATCAGTCTCTCGTACTGAATGAAAGAAGTCTCACAATTGATAAACTCTGGAAACTGCTGATTGTCAAGATAAATTAAGCAAATAAAGGGGAAGCCAGTGCAAGAAAACACGCATTGTTATTTTCTATAAATGCTTCCACTCAACAGATTTTTTTTGAATGAGAACTCTTGAATTTAGTTACCTTTGGTGGACTTTTTGTCCGTAAGCTGGCTCAGTTGCTGTTTTGAACTGACGTCAACTTTTGACCGGCACACAGTGATACAGCAGTAATGACTTCCACCACTTGACTACATACGATACCATTTTGAAGCAGCTACTAGATGCAATTATTTGATTTGCATTAGTTCTTGTAGTATAAGAAACAGAGTTGTTTCCTGTCACCTCTTCCACGTCACTTAACAGTTTTCTAGACCTCTGTTGCATTTGTTTTGAATCATCCCTTTTCCAGGGCAACGAATTCTAATTATTTATTTGCTCTTTATTTGGAAGCTATTGCACATCAATTGATTCCTTCTGTTCAGTTACTTTTTCTTGACCTGGCATCTTTTGTCAGTATTACTGTTGTTTAAGAAAATTACTTGCATGGCAACCAAACTGATCTTTAGAAACGGTGGTCTTTTACTCCCGTTCCTGGTCAATAGTGTCTAGCTTGGCATTTGGCTGCCTCAATACATAGTTGCAGACTAAAAAGCATAACAAATGGTAGCTTACGCATCTTTTGAGTTGTGTTTGGAACTCTGGAAGTGTGGTGACAGTTTACCTGTGAAAAGTTTTGGTCTCTGGCCTCCCAGTTTTGTCATTCTTTGTATATATGAAAATGGTGAGGTTTTATTTGGGTTCTGTAGCTAGTCTGTCATTTTACTGGGTAATGAAGTGAAATGGTCGATCTTGAATCCTGGGGTCATACCTGGGCTGTGTTGGGTTTTGGTGCAGTGCTCATGAGTGGGCATTTTGCCAACAGAAGAGGGGATCAAAATCATTCTATCCAATAAAAATTGGCAGTTGCTCACTCCATTGCAGGAATATATTTTCAGTGAAAGGATATTGTTTCTAAGTGGCTCCCTGCTCACTCTGCTATTTGTGGTGCAACATCCTAACAGTTAATGGAACTGTGGGAATTAAAATATTGCTGTGTAAGAAACGGCAGTAGGTGAGCCCAGTGAGACAGCTCATTTGCATGGATTTGACAGTGCTGGCCATTTTAGATGGACCAGTAGTTTTAAAATGTTTACAGTCTACAGTTAAAATATAATTGGATTCGTCATTGAATTGTAGCTATTCCATGTGGTTGAAGAAAATTTCACAATGCAGATGTGGGAATTTTGATTCAGTGTAACATTACCTATGGGTATTTAAATGTTTTTTCCGTTATGTCTTTGAAAAGTGTTAGTCTGCAGGGAAAAAAAAAAGCTGTTATTCTCCCTTCATGTATTATGAAAGATTTCACTTTGGTTTCAAAAGAGGATCCAGGTGTACTTCCAACTATTCTACAAACATTAGTTTGTATGATTTATGATAGCTAAATATTATCCTGCTGATATAAAGTTATATTCATCTAGAATTTTTTTTAATTTTTTTTTTTTTTAATTAATGCAGAAGATAGCTGGCTTTTCTCTGGGATGATGTAGCAAGGCTTTTTTCATCATTAGCTGATATGTGTGAAATAATATGTGCGTAAATACCTAGTTTGATCTTTTCATGTTTGTTTTTGTTTAAGTGCTCCACCCCCACCTGGAAACGAAGAGGAAGCTGCAGAAAATGGCGTTGTGAAAACGGTAGTTTTAAATGTGTTTTTGGAATACTACTTTAGGGGTTTTTTTGATTTATGGGGTATTCGTAATTTGGCTAGGGCTTATAATTAAATGAATTAATGTGTAAGTGTACACCTTTGATTTTTTTTTTTTCCCCCTGAAAGGTATTTGACACTATCTGCAGAAACTCTGTAGAAATTACTAAATTAGGAAATCCAATTTCTAACTGCAGTCTGCTTTTTAAAACTTATCTTTCAGCAAATAAACAAATAGTACTTCCATTTTTTTGGGGGGGGTGGGGTGGGGAAGGTGGTGCTTCAAGACAGCTGTCGTATCTCAAAGACATCCTTTTCAAAATTATTCTCTTTTTCTTCGCTGATAGGAAAATAAAATCCTCTGATCATTTTTCTTTTTTGACTGTGATAAACAATCAGCATTTGCAGAACTATGTGAAAATATGGATGAAGAGATGAATTACACGTGCCTTTCAGAGGCAACATGACAGACTTGTTTGGTAGTAGTCTTCAATGGTCAGTGTGTCTTATAACTTCAGTGTTAGCGTGATGAAGGAAAGGACTGGGAAATTAAATTTACAATTTCAGTGTTGATACAAGGCCTCAGTTTACTGTGAATGGGAACAGTTTAAATCTGTTCTACGAAAAGACAGTAATTTTACTTCACTGGGATTTTTTAGCTTATATCTTGCAAGAATTCTCTTAAGTGATGCAGAAACCATTGTCATATTTGTGTAAGTTTTAAGGACTAGCCTTTCTCAAAAGTATATTTTTTTCAGTAAGTAATACTTTATGAAAGATATTACAACTTATTTAAAGTTGGGGGAAAAAAACCTTATTAAAAACTTAAAAAGCTTATTTCAGTTGTTTAAACTGAAAAGGTCTTTATTTTAAATGCACCAAAGGCTTTTTGTGCTGGTGCTAATACTGTAAAGGGGCAGTAGATTTAATATGTTAGGTACAAGGAGACAATAGTATACTCTTTTGGACTTTCTGATTTTAAAGTATTTCTGAAAATCCTTATTGGTGCAGTTTCCTTGTACTTGCATATCTTTGTATTTTTCACCTATATAAAGCCTAGCATTGTCAGGATATCATTAGAACATCTCCATAAAACTGAGAACTTCACGGTAAGACGTACACATAAAGGGTCAGCAGCAACCTAGAAAAATGGATGGTGTTCAAGTTGGCTGAATAAGAAAAGATGAATGTTTCTGGGAGGGGGTAACTAAGAAATCGTTGTTTATAAGTGAAATTGGTTTTGGCTGAAAAGGTACATGCTCCAGACAAAATTTTATTTTCTGTTTGATGCATTTGTAATGGCTCTGTACTGTGTGGGTTGCCTGGTGTGTGAGAGAGTGGCGAACTTATACTTTTCAGCAGTGGGGCATTGATAGACTGTCTTCTGACTTCAGCTGTCATTTACAGAATATCTGTACTGATCTAGACTTCCCCCCACCCTTGATTAGACTCTTAATTGTTATGTAAATTGTATTAATGTTGTATAGCAAGGATGAACTGCACTCCGACATCTTCTCTTCTGTGCAGCTGCTTATTTTTGTCCAATTTATGTACCAGGCAAAGTAATAGATGGTAGAGTAGTTAAGAGCTAGAGCTCAGCTGTGCTTGGATAACTGCAGGCTACCTGGGCAGAATCAACTCGGCTTCAGTATGTTCAGCCTTTTGCTGAAGGATTCAACAAGTATGTGAATAAGAGTGATCTGGTTGATAAATAAAGTTCATTTGGATTCCACAAAGTTTTTGAAGAAGTTCGTCACCAGAGGATTTTAAGAAAAATAAGCAGCTATAGGATGAGTCCCACATGGATAATTGATATGTAAAAGATAGACAACAGAGGGTAGAAGTAAAGGTTCAGTTTTCACAGTGAAGGAAGGTCACCTCCAGTGGGGATTCTCTGGAATGTTGCACATAACCTGTGCTGTTTAATGTGTTTATAAATTACTTGGAAAAGGGGTAAGCTGTGGGATCACAAGTTTTCTGATGTTACAAAGTGATTCAAGATAGTAAGAGCAAGGACTGTCTGTGAAGAACTGACCGGTTGATAAATGGTTATTGAAATTCTGTATAGAAAAAGAAGAGTGATGTTCATGGGAGGAAAAACAGGTTTACAAATAAAATGGTGGTCTCTGAGCTGATCATTACTACTTAGGAGGGATGCATTAAGATATGTAGAAAGATCCATGAAATTGACGGTTAAGTGCTTGTCTGAAGTCTAAAAAGCAGTTAAACCTTGGGATGTAGCAGAAAATTAAGAGAACAAAATGGAAGATGCCGTTATACCATAAATTCATGGTTCAGTTGCAGCCTGAATTCTGTGTGCTCTGTTCCCCTCAAGTCATAAAGGCTTTACTTCAACTGAAAAAAGTTAAGAGCAGCAGCAAGAGTAATCGAGGTAGCTTCCATAAAAGTAATGGCTGAGTAGGCAAGGACTTCTCAGCCTGGAAGAGAAGCGTACGTAGGATATGATGGAGGCTAGAAAAATCATGTATGGAGACTATAAATAAGTATTGACTCCTCACAACCCCTTCTATATGAGAACTGGGACTGTTAAATGAAAGTCATAGGGGTGAGGATGAAAACAAATAAAAGAGGTGGGATCTTCCTGTAGTAGACAGTGCTATGCAACTCCTTGCCAAAGAGAGTGTCGCTGCTGCGAGTTTATATGAGTCCAAGGGAAGTCTGGGCAAGTACTTGAGAGAAAGATCCGTTGGGGGTTACTAAATAGACATACCATAACTGGCTTAGGAAATGCCCTGAGCTGATGATA